TTTCCATCACCGATTTCCTTGCGTCTTTCCCACGGATACTCGTGGATGTAGTTACTGACAAATGACAGTGTTTAAAAGAAACGTATGGCACAAGATGCTTTGTTTATTGAACGGTTCGTTCTTATCACCAACTGACGATCGTTACCGCAACGTCGCGGAAGAAAGGAATCGTGGAGTCGCCAGGACGTAACAGTTAATACATATATTTATAGGGCACAAACTCTTTTTAGAATCCATTCAGATTATATTTAATTTACCAGATTTATAGTTTATTCTTCGTTGTTTTGTAATGTATAGTTTTCTGCGATACTTTTCTTCTCCACCAATAGCAACAATGTTCACTGATACTAATAAAAACATCTTTGGTGCGGAGACTGGATCCTTGAAGATAAAAAGAGTACAAGAGATGCTTTCGTATTTTTTGACACGGTGTGAAATAGCATATTGGTTTTCTGTTTGTTTATACATAAATAAATAGCATTTTAATAGAAACAATGTACGATATTTTCGGCAATTTCGTAATGCGATTTTCCAGTTATAGCTACAGTTTCTCCCAAAATCAATTATCCTTTCTACATTATCCGACAAACGTCCGATTAGTCGGCCGAAGATAAATTTAATTCATTGCAATCCGGCGAGATATCGCAATTTTTTTTAACTCACAATGTTTTACTTTTTACAACCTGGAACATAAAATAAGTAAAGTTTTGCCGCATAATAACTTCTCGTTTGTTGAAACACATCGTAGACAGATAAAATATATAAAAATGACTTAATCGATTAGTTAATCGTCTATGCATGTAAATTTTATAATCAGAAACTAATAGAAAATGATTACTTTCAAAACGATACTTTTAATTTTATTGTCTTTCGTAGCAATATCATGACATCAATTAACTCGACAATATCATTGTATAAAGAACGTGCTTATACTAAAAATAGCAATAATCCTTCATGAAAATGAATGTAAAAAGATAATGCTAGATAATCATGCTTGTGTTTAAGATTAACAAATTGTATTAATAATTATTTTTGAAAAATACTGCAAGCAATGAAGTGAATAGAATTTACGCAATCGTTGGTGTACATATATAAAGGATGTAATATGTCTATGCATGACCGTAATTTTAATGAATCTTTAAAACAATTGTCGGGTAAACATTTCGTTTAAAAAAAACAGAAAACATGACACTCCGCACAAATTGAATAATTTTATTTGTTGAAATTAATATAATGTACAAGAATTTAAATAAAAAAGAAATAAGTAGATTATAAAAATAGGATATTTACGCAAAGAATCGAGAAATCGTATTTAATAAAAACATATATGTGTGAATGCTGGTACAGATTATTCAATTTATGCAAAATATTTAAATTACTTTTGCATTTGTCAGTCACATCATATAATATTTAAGTGGTTATCATTAATTATATAATTTACCATTTAGAGTTTTGCAATTCCGTTTAATTTTTAAAGTTAAATCAATTACTTATATTTTGTACTCAAGCTTTTATCTAAAGAAACATTCATTTAAAGAAAATACATCAATAACTCATCACATGGCTAACGTTTTGTTTCGATAATTTATTTATAAATATATAAAAAATACAAGTTACAAGATTTACAAAGTAGTAAATGCATTTAATCTAATTATTATTCGTAATCTAAACTTTCTTACGTACATACAATAATTATTATTATATAAATTAAAAATTATAAAATATTTTAGCAAAACATAATTTTGAAAAATTTAAATAATAATTTCAATGCGCATTTAAAAAAAAATTGTATTCTAAAACCGGAATGTTATGTAAATATACGTTTATAAAATGTTAAAACATATACTCTTTTTTATAATCTATTTATCCTGATTATAAAATATTTATCAAATTTGTAGATACATTCTGTGTAGTTCCAAATTTTCCACTGAAGCATCCGCAGATTCTAATGATGGTATCTTATCAATTTCCTGACAATTTTCTTTTTCGTTATTTTGATAATTCTTCGATTCTTCCTTTTCACTGCTTTTTTATACTGTTATACTGTCAGAATCGTTTTCTCGAGAAATTCGACTTGTATCAGTTAGTAAGAGCCTGCTTGTCACTAACATCAAGTTTAATTCTGTTACGTAATCATAAATGTTTATATCTTCTACAAATGATGTTAGACAATAATCATGTATTGGCGTATTTAGTGGCGCAATCCATAGTTCAGTAGGATTCGTAAAGGAAGATTCTGCAAGAGACGATTTCATAGAATACGATCATAGTTTTTCAATTTATTATCATTTTCAATCTTCTGAAAACATTCTTGTGAAGATTGAGATTTTAGCTCGATTGCGGATTTTGATGTACTTGGTCGCACGACTTTAGTAGCGTTCGATTCCGTACCAAACGATTCCGTAGGAAACAGTTCCGATGGCGAACCCGGTAAGTTCATTATTTCGTTTTTAAGTAGATAGTTACATTCCTTGCCTTTTGTGCATGCATCGTCATCTGCTAATACCTGGTCTCTACAATATTTTAAAATAAGAAGACGCTTGATTAACTACATGCGATTCTCCTTCTAATGCTTCTAATTATATCTTCATTAATTTAATTACTCAGATTATAAATCCATCTATTTTTTTTTTTTGTTACTTTTTTTTCTTTTGATAAAAACAATGAAATCCAGTGATCGAATATTTTTTCCTTCAATTCAAATTTGCAAATAGCAGTCGCAAAAGTGATAGCGTGTTCACCATTCTTAACCATACGCATATGCCCAAAACGGAAATAAAATTGAAATAAAAATAGAGATAGAATTAATATGAACAGAATTATGAAACATTTCAAACATGTGAAACATTTTTTTTGACGAATTTTTACTTCCGTATCTTGAATATCTTCCGGTTTTTTGTTTTCTTGAGCTTTAGCATATATTCTCATATATTTCGAAGAAAATTTATTAATAATCTTGTTCATTACTAACTGTGGTAATATTGAAAAATGAAACATCATAATTTTGAAATTAAATTTGAATACCGCATTTATAAATCTCCACTGTAATGATTTATCCTTAGACATTGATGTTGATTCTTCAAGATTCACGAATTTCTTATCGTTCATAGCTTCCGCTTGATCGTCTACTGGCTCAGATGCAGATGTATTATCGTGAATATTTGCCGTTAAATCCATAGATTCCTTTGCTCTCATATTTATCACTTGACATTTATCCTGATTTTCTTTTGATTTATGGTCATTGTCTTTCTTCTGAGTGCATTCTTGCGATGATTGAGATTTTAGCTCGAGTGCGGATTTTGATGTACTCGGTCGTGCGATTTCAGTAGCGCTCGATTCCGTACCGGACGATTCCATAGGAGACGATTCTGTAGTAGACGGTTCCGTAGTAGACAATCTCGGTAAGTTCATTGTTTTGGTTTTAGATGAATAGCAACATTCATCCCTGCATCATTGTCTACTAATACCTGGCCTCTATTGATTTTTAAAATGAAAAAACGCTTGATTAATGACATGCGATATCTTATCTTTCTTAGTTAATCGCATATGTTAGATTTCGAATTGTCACGTTACATTAAATAAAGACAGATCAAACTTTTAATTATGTATTAAAAATATTTCTAAATTTTATTTTCGATATTTACAATCAAATTTTTTTATTCTTCAGAAATCGCAAATCACGCATCATGAATACGTGCATAGTTCAACGTTAGCGTTACTCTTTATTATCTCTTCCTTCTCTACTTGAGACATTAATAAATTCTTTTGTCTCACTCCGAACGCAAACATGTAACCACGGGCATCTAAATCGTAATTTTGTTTGTGAATGGTATAAATTTAAGATTTTACTAGTACAAAATGCAACTACATTATGATTATCAAACATAATGTTAAAAAGAAAAATATGTCAAACGTATTTTTGATAATGAAACAAGATAATTAAAACTCACCGATCAATATTTGCAGTTTTTTTAGTTTGATGTTCCAATATACCAATCGTTCTTTTTCGCAGCTCTCTTAAGACTAGTCTAACTGAGTCCGGTACATATGGTTCCATCTTTTAGGGATGATCCTTTTTCTTTCAGGTACCTGTGAGTGGAAGCGAAGGGATTTTTTCGACACAGTATGCGTAGATCCTTTGTGACGTGAAATAAATAGAAATAGAGTGGGAGATGACCAGCTGAAATGCCAAAAGCAGAACAGATGCAGCCAATCGCTGCATAGGGGTGCGTATTTTGTCAATAGTGACTATAGCAAACGTAAGAATTCGTAAGGTTAGGTTAGGTTGGTTGCACTAAAAATGCAATTTTTCAGATAACAAATTTATTATTATTAATATTATTATCGCACGTTCAATGACGATTTGGGGAAAATTTGGCACTTCTCAAAGTGTCTGTGTTTGTCAAATTGTCTTAATAAATCATTATGTATATCACAATAATCCTGTAAGGAACATTATGGTGTGTCGCAATAATCCTGTGAGGTATGTAAGGCGAAAAATGCTTGCAATATATATCAAATATAAAATCATGGGATGTGGTATCGCATGAAATTGTTCATCATCGTGTGTCATGCATGATAATTTTGAAACATATTACATGTAATATGTAATACTATTTTACGCTTACGTTATTCCAAAAGAAAAAAAATTCCGAATTTTATTGACACAATAAATTTACAATTAGTAGCGGTTCATAGATGTATCTGAGTAATATTATTCAATTTATGCAAAATATTTAAATTACTTTTGCATTTGTCAGTCACATCATATAATATTTAAGTGGTTATCATTAATTATATAATTTACCATTTAGAGTTTTGCAATTCCGTTTAATTTTTAAAGTTAAATCAATTACTTATATTTTGTACTCAAGCTTTTATCTAAAGAAACATTCATTTAAAGAAAATACATCAATAACTCATCACATGGCTAACGTTTTGTTTCGATAATTTATTTATAAATATATAAAAAATACAAGTTACAAGATTTACAAAGTAGTAAATGCATTTAATCTAATTATTATTCGTAATCTAAACTTTCTTACGTACATACAATAATTATTATTATATAAATTAAAAATTATAAAATATTTTAGCAAAACATAATTTTGAAAAATTTAAATAATAATTTCAATGCGCATTTAAAAAAAAATTGTATTCTAAAACCGGAATGTTATGTAAATATACGTTTATAAAATGTTAAAACATATACTCTTTTTTATAATCTATTTATCCTGATTATAAAATATTTATCAAATTTGTAGATACATTCTGTGTAGTTCCAAATTTTCCACTGAAGCATCCGCAGATTCTAATGATGGTATCTTATCAATTTCCTGACAATTTTCTTTTTCGTTATTTTGATAATTCTTCGATTCTTCCTTTTCACTGCTTTTTTATACTGTTATACTGTCAGAATCGTTTTCTCGAGAAATTCGACTTGTATCAGTTAGTAAGAGCCTGCTTGTCACTAACATCAAGTTTAATTCTGTTACGTAATCATAAATGTTTATATCTTCTACAAATGATGTTAGACAATAATCATGTATTGGCGTATTTAGTGGCGCAATCCATAGTTCAGTAGGATTCGTAAAGGAAGATTCTGCAAGAGACGATTTCATAGAATACGATCATAGTTTTTCAATTTATTATCATTTTCAATCTTCTAAAAACATTCTTGTGAAGATTGAGATTTTAGCTCGATTGCGGATTTTGATGTACTTGGTCGCACGACTTTAGTAGCGTTCGATTCCGTACCAAACGATTCCGTAGGAAACAGTTCCGATGGCGAACCCGGTAAGTTCATTATTTCGTTTTTAAGTAGATAGTTACATTCCTTGCCTTTTGTGCATGCATCGTCATCTGCTAATACCTGGTCTCTACAATATTTTAAAATAAGAAGACGCTTGATTAACTACATGCGATTCTCCTTCTAATGCTTCTAATTATATCTTCATTAATTTAATTACTCAGATTATAAATCCATCTATCTTTTTTTTTTGTTACTTTTTTTTCTTTTGATAAAAACAATGGAATCCAGTGATCGAATATTTTTTCCTTCAATTCAAATTTGCAAATAGCAGTCGCAAAAGTGATAGCGTGTTCACCATTCTTAACCATACGCATATGCCCAAAACGGAAATAAAATTGAAATAAAAATAAAGATAGAATTAATATTAACAAGATTATGAAACATTTCAAATATATGAAACATTTCGACGGACATTTCTTTGGATGAATTTTTACTTTCGTATCTTGAATGTCTTCCGGTTTTTTGTCTTTTTGAGCGTTATCATAAATTTTCATGGAGACCATAATTTCCTTATCATTTGTAGTTTCTGGTCGACTATCTGATATAAATGTAGATGAAATGTTTACACTATCGTGAATATTTGTCGTTAAATCTGTAGATTCTTTTTTTTCATTATCTTCCACTTCCACTTTCTTAGACATCTGTGTTGATATCAATTCTGCAGAATTCATAGAGTCCATAATTTCCTCATCATTTGTAGTTTTCGGTTGACTATCTGATATAGATGTAGATGAAATGTTTCCAATATCGTGAATATTTATCGTTGAATCTGTAGATTCTTTTACTTCAAAATTTTCCACTGAAGTGTCCTTAGATTGAAGTATTGGTGTATTCGATGGCGCAATCCCTGGTTCAAAAGAGTTCGTAAAGGAAGACTCTGCATGGGACGATTCCGTATGGGACGGTTCCATAATAGACGATTCCGGTAAGCTCATTACTCCAGCTTTAAATGGATAATTACATTCCGTAACTTTTCTGTGTACTTCGTATTCTGCTAATATCTGGCCTCTAATATTTTAAAATAAAAGAACGCTACGTCAATGACGTGTCATATTTTATCTTTTTTAGTTAATTGTATGCGTTAAACCTGGTGAATAGTCGCGTTATGTTAAATATAAAAACAGCAAATATTTATTCTATATTAAAAATATTCCTAAATTTTAATTGTCGATAATAACAATACAAATGCAAATACTATTACTTTTGTAAATAAATTTTTTATCTTACATTTTTATCTCAAGCGATTTAATCTTGTATAGAAATTGTTTTAATTGCCAAAATATATTTACTCGAAAAATATATAATTTTTAATTATACAAGAAAATAATACTCGCATACAGTTTTATTCTAAACAATTCTTAATAATTCAAATAAAATCGAATTATACCCACTGTAATAATTTATCCTTAGACATTGATTTTGATATGAAATCTGCAGAATCCATATGGTCCATAACTTTCTCGTCTGTAGTTTTCCCTTGATCATCTGATATTATAGGTGTAGATAAAGTTAATATTGGTGCAATTGGATTTGAATCGTTGAAATGTTTTGTTGAATTAATAATTTTATTTTGTTTCATATTTTCTATTTCATAATAGTCCCAAGACAAATTTGAGAATTCGGATGGTGTAGGTATTAGTTTATAATGATTTTTATTCATAGATCGGCAATACGCTGAGATCTGGTTAAAATTTAATAGATCTTCATCTGCTTGCATTCTTTTTGCAAACGTTTCCGTTTGCATCTCTGCTTCCATATCTAGTTCCTGGTTTTAAAAATAAAAAGATGATTAATTAATGTCATATAATATCTTATCTTTTTGAAATAATCGTACGTTCCAGTTTATTATAATTAAAATTAATAAACTTTTTATTTTGCATTTCTGTCTCAAACAATTAAGGTTTATGTAGACATTGTTTTAATTGTAATGAGATATCTTTACTTGAAATTGTAATTTTTAATTATATAAAAAGATAATTGGCACAAATGTAGTATTATTCTAAACAATTCTTAATTATTTATGCAAATATTATTAAAAAACATGTACACGTAACAAAATAAACAAATGAAAGGTGTGTGTGTGTGTGGATGTGGATATATATATATATATGCTATGCGATATTACAATCGTAATTCTAATCAAAGGATATAATATTTAACATAAATATCCTGATTCAATAAAATCTGCTTGTTGTATTGTTTAACTTAAACAATTTTAATTCTTCAAAAGTCTTTAAGAAGAAATTTGCAGGCTAGACAGAAAAAAAATTCTAATTACCTTGAGAAAACATAATTCTTTATCTGATCGTAAATCGAAGGAATCTTCGGTTTCCTTTTTCATAGTATCGGATTTGAAAAATTTCCTGCGAAAATATAAAACCAGCAATTTATTAATAACATAACTCTCAAGTTGCTTTGACATATATTTACGCTTTACTTCATCTTTTGTGAATCGAAACAGATATTTAAGAAATTCTTAATCAAATAATTTACTAATTTATATGATACTAGCTTACTCTTATTGCAAATGACTAATGTAAATCTTAGCGAAGAAGTTAATATATAATCGCGTTAATGCTTCTGTGTTCTCACTGCAATTGAATTATAATTATGATGTCAGAAGCGAGATACAAAATATACAGGATGTCCCAGAATTCGCGAACACGGAATGCACAGCGTGATTGTCTGTGTTAAAAAAAGCAATTTCTTTCTCTGGCAAAATTACGTCTGAATACTACTTTTAAATAAAAACAACTTTGAGCTAACGAATGAGCGCTCTAGTTACGCATGAATTAGGGGAGGCGCGAGCACGGCGCGTGTGGCGTGTGAACGTGTATGTATGCTATTTTACTATTCCGTTAAAGATTTTATAAGAACTATGCATGATATCTAAATATCCAGAAAAAAATTGCTTCTTTTGACATGGATAATCACGCAGTGCATTCCGTGCCCGCGAATTCTGGGACACTCTGTATAATATAATATATAATAACAAAAAAGGAGTTTTCGGCGTATTTTACTAATTTATATTATTAAACATGTATGATTATATACAAAAATACTTATTTTTCTCATTGTCAGTGTATTTTGCAAAAATAAATCTTATATGATTTTTCGTTTCCTTATAATTCAATATAATTGCAGGGAAGACGCATGAGTTTTAACACTCGTAATTTGGCATTAAATCACGAAATCGTACCATCATACAAATGCAAACTACAATGCAAACAAATCATAAATGTCAGAAATCATATTGATCAAAGAAGACGTCGATTGTCCTCGAATAAAATAGAACTAATAAAAATCCTTCATATGTTTTATGTCCTTCCTATTTTCTTTTATTATTTTTGGTGCAATTCTGCTGTGTTGACATGCTTGATAATACGTGTTCGATCAAGTTTATTCGTTCCTTTTTTATTGCACAGCACTGTCATATTTGATTCTGATGTTTTCATGGCATAGACATATAATATTAATAATATATATACTGCGCGTCTCTACATTTTCTGTAGTCAGAACGCGTCAAAGAATATAGCGTTTTCGAATGTAACAGGTTTAATTGCTCTGAGAGCGATTAATGACGTCATTGCATCGTCTCTGCCAATAAAAGGCTTGAATTTATAGTAAAATATAGTGATTAATTGATCCGGGTTGGATTAACCCGTTCATTCGAAAACGCTAATAGAAAGAGATAGCTGATCAATCTGTCTTTGTCTAAAGACGCGTGATAGGGTAAAGAAGCTTTCATTGACTGGGAAACAAAAAAGTAGAAAGGATGAAAAGACAAAGATAAAATAGTGATACAAAGCATGCTATCTCAGTCTAATATTTGACGACCCCCACTTCTTAATACTCTGTCTAATGGATATTTCCAACGTTTCGGAGAAGTCTCAATTTCTGTTTGGATATTGATCGCGAGGACAAAGAACTGTCAATGCGACGTACTTTTAAGCTAACTCAATTACTTTTATTTTATGCACAAATTTTTATTTAGAAAACTTATTTCACACATACACATAGTCTTTTATTCGTAAATATGTATAAAAAGTACAAGTATAAAGTAGCAACATCATAATCTAATTTTTGTCCGTAATCTAAAGTTTCTTCTTATATATAATAATTCTTATTACACACACCATGCAAATAAAAAATAAAAAAGATTGAGCAAAATACAGTTTCAAAAAATGTAACTAACAAGTTCAATGCACTTCTTTTACAAGAATTCGTAATCTAAAACACGAATGTTTGTGATAGTTAATACATATATTTATAAGCCATACACTTCTTTTATAATCCATTCAGATTATATTTAATTTACCAGATTTATAGTTTATTCTTCGTTGTTTCAAGAGATTTCGCACACTCAGATTTTTCTTAATTTACATACTTCTTCTTTTATGATCTATTTATTTTGATTATATTAAATTTACCGAATTTATATAGTTTATTTTCTTTGTTTTAAAATTTCGCACATTCAGATTTTTCTTAATTTATATTCAACATACTTTCTAATCTACAACATATTAACTATATTTATATACTTCGAAGAAACAAGTCTTTTACAAATCAAAGTCTATAGTTTTTATAACTAATAAAAGAATACAAAATATTTTTTCGCGAGCGACTTTTGCATAAGAAAGACCACTGTAGTAACAGCACTGTAGTAACAACGTCACGATATAACTACACACAGTAGTGTCACTGAACTATCGGTACTTTTGATGTTATGCCAAGCCACATGACTCATCGTCATATTGATCGTTGAGCATCGTCTTGTCAATACTCGACGTTGATTCGTTGGTTCTAGAAGTAAGAACCAATCACGTTCGATTACTACACGATTGTTTCTCCTAAACCCATTGTATAGCGCTTATTGATATACATATATACATGCATGCAAACATACATACACATATACATACATAAATACATATGCGCCATGTGGTCAATTGTATGATCGACGCATGCGTACTAAAATAATTGTGTCACTGAACTATCGGTACTTTTGATGTTATGCCAAGCCACATGACTCATCGTCATATTGATCGTTGAGCATCGTCTTGTCAATACTCGACGTTGATTCGTTGGTTCTAGAAGTAACACGTTCGCACGTTCGATTACTACACGATTGTTTCTCCTAAACCCATTGTATAGCGCTTATTGATATACATATATACATGCATGCATACATACATGCATGCATACATACATACACATATACATACATAAATACATAAATACATATGCGCCATGTGGTCAATTGTATGATCGACGCATGCGTACTAAAATAATTTGTTCTCGTATAGAAGTGACATTACTGTGTTATATTGTGACAACGTAGCGTAGCTATTAAAAAAAAACCTAACGTTTGAGCATTACATGTCATTATGAAAATTTATACATACGCAATAATCACGAACACTTGTTTATAAATCGTCGTAAATTCAAATGTGATTACAGAATGAAACTTAGCAAAATCAATTTTTTAGCAAAAAATATTTGAGATATTACATATGTCGGGAATTCTAATCAATTTAAGTTTATTTAATTGTGTAACGCGTTAATTACACGTTTCGCTAGACGTACGCTAAACAACATATCACACATCATATCTTGCAAAAATTATCAATCACTTTTTTAATACAACCTGGATGCAATGCATACAAAAATTTCATCATGTATTCAAACCAATAGACTATGATTGTAAATCATGTGCGAGTTGACTTTTTACTGACTGACGATTTAATTAAGCAACGTGAAAATGCAATTCGACATATTTTTAAAGGAAAATAATATCTTAATAGGGAAATTACCCTTCTTGAGATTATTACAATAAAAAATGTAAACAGAGAAAAAATATATTATTTTATTGAATATTATTATATCAGTCATTAAACAATAATTTTATAAGTCTTGTCACCTCAGAAGTAATCACGTATAATTTCTTTATTGTCTACCAATCACCTGAACTTTGCCATAGGCTCCTTTGCAACCGGTATTATTTTCTATCAATTGTTGTTTAATAAGAGCAATCTGATCTCGAGAGAGTGTTTTCTTGATATTTTTCGCCACGTCTATAATGCATTTTTCTAAAGTTTCCTCGCTCAAGGGTTCATAGGGAATAACTTTGATATCGAGATTTGCGTCGGCAAAAGTACTTCTTATTGTACTTATACTTTTGTTCAAATCTATGCTACGCGTTGAATCGTCACTCATTTGCTCGACATTAAAAATAGCTAATATGGTACCGTATCGATGTCCGTATGTCTCTTGATGCGTTTTTACAAACTTTATAGTGTCCAACAAATGCTCTTCTCTCAAATTTTCCAATACAAATAAGTCCGCGCGCGAAAAAAAGAGACGGTTACTACTTCTTTCATGAAAGTTCTTCCTTATAATTTCCGCCGTGTATGATTTACCGACACCAGTACCACCAACGAGAGCTATTATTTTTAAAGAAGGTGAATCTTGCGGAATATAATCAGTCAAGACTTCTATGGCTCGATCTTGACCAAAAATCTGTTTTTTCAATTCTACAACAGCAGTCGCAAAAGTATTACTATGCTTATCATTCTGATCGTCTTGCAAAGGTACGAAAAACAAAAGTACAAATAACAAAATTGCTACAAAAAATACACGAAGTGCTTGTTTGACTTTCGAACACTTTGAAGCATTTTTAGGACGAATTTCTTCTTTCGTATCTTGATAGTTACTTCGTTTCTCATCATCTTCAACGTTTTCGTTCGTATAGTCTGTATTGTCGTTTTGAGTCTTAGAAGTCTTCCAGAGTTTTCGTCTTGTAGGAATCAGTCTTGTATCATCGTCCGCTTCTGCAGGTTGGGATTCTAAATTGAAGACAGACCTCAACACAGTCGTGTGTGCTTGCGCGATTACAGCAGCGAACGATAATGATTCTATAGAGATCGTTTTCGATAAGTCTATGCATCCCGCAGGATTCGTAGAGTCCATAAATTTTTCAACTTCCATAGCTTCTGCTCGATCGACCGTTTCCATAGGTGCGGATGTGGATGATGTAGCATCATGGATAGATTTTAGTGAATCTGGATATTTCTCTACTTCCATATATTCCACCTGATTGTCCGCAGGCATAGGTGCGGGGATGGATGGTGCCTTATCAATCCTTGGAGGCCAGATATGGTCCGGAACCTTACTATTGTCATAAAAGATATACTCTGCTTTTTTAATGCGTGCTTCCATCTCTGATAATATTGCCGGTCTCCTAGATTAGGGAATAACAAGATACTTGATTAATGCCATTTGATATCTTATCTTTTTCTGATAATCGCACTTTTCAATCTCTAATCTTTTCATTCTTTAATTATCTTGTTAGGTTAAACGAAAGCACTAAGTTTTTTATTGTCTTAAAAATATTTATAAATTTTATTGTCGATAAAAATAATAAATAAAAATACTATTATTAATATTAACAAATTTTTCGTTTTGCATTTCTATCTTAATCAATTATGACATGTATAAAAAATGTTTTAATTGCAAAAATATCTTTACTCAAAAACTATAATTATAATAATTTAATAATTCATACGAATTATTAAAAGACATAGAAACAAACAAATAAAATTTGGTTAATAGAGATATTAAATTTTTACGTATCGTGCAATATTAAGTTCGTAGTAATTTTAATCAAAGGATATATATACAATACCTCGCATAAATGTTTGGATATATTATTTGCTCGCTGTAATGCCTGTCCAGCTTGGGTGACTTTAATTCTTCAGGAGCCTTGAAACAATGGATTTGGCTGGATGGAAAACTAAACGTCCTGATTATTCTACGTGGTGATTCTAGTTCCGACTCAAAGGAATCATCGATATTCAGAGCCTCGAGTTGCTTTTCCATAATATCGGATCAGAAAGATTTCCTGCACAAAAGAAATTGATTAATTAATAACATAACCCTCAAATTACAATGACATACCACTTTACTCCGTTCGTTTCTGTTCTGCAAATCGAAGCATGCATTCGAGAAATTTTTAATCGAAGAATTTACTTGATATTTGTTTACTTTTATTGCGAATTATTAATATAAATCTTAGCGAAAAGGCTTGCAAATTGAGATGTCAGTGAGAGAAATGAATATATAATCGCGTTAGATGATCCAGAACAGAGCAATAAACGTTTTTCAGCTGAACGATATAAAAACTAAAACACAAATTTTCGAATTATTTTAATCTTTATTCTTTAGATCACTTGGATATTTGTTTATGTGATAATCATTGTTAAAATTTATTATCAGTAAAAAAATTCTCTCTTAAAAATTTTGTTAATCATTTTCACCTGTCTTTTTAAATTTGAAATAAATTTTCATATAAAATATAAAATTGCGAAAAGATCTGCTATTTTCCACATGTCTTATACTTTATCGTCTCTTCCTCCTCTTTCGGAAACGCGACTGTATACTCCTGTTTCGCTCCGATTACAGAACATGTAAACGCGCACGAAGTCAGGGGCCGTTGAAAATCGTATTTCGGCCCTGAGGATGCCACGAGTTTGGACCCTTACCAGCGCACAATGGGAACGAATTGTAACTGTCGACGATCATATTAATCGAGAAACACACGTCGAACGTTCTCGACCCTGATGGAACCGAGCCAACGAAACTCCTCTCGATGTTTGCTGCTTGTTTTTTTTTTCTCTCTTTTCAGGGCGATTCTGCCATCTGCCATGCCGGCAACACATGCTTGACAACACGGTTGCCCGGCAGTGATGCCAGTTTCGAGACGCTGCCACAGCGACAGCGTGTGGAGGGGATAACTCACACAAGCGTGAACCGTGTACATATAATGCGCAGAGCGTTCTGCGCATTACACGTACACGGTTCACGCTTGTGTGAGTTATCCCCTCCACACGCTGTGGCTGTGGCAGCGTCTCAAAACTGGCATCACTGTATGCCCGGTCGAGTTCGCTAACGGTCCGCGTTCGCCCGTTCCTCCTTTTCACAAGCGCTTGTCATGTCAGTCCGGTTCAATTCCGATGTTCCCAGCATCTCGGGACGGTCTCAGTTCCTGCTCGGTTATCGACGAGCGAGGGCGAAGTGTTCTGGACGCGGCGCGCGCCGATTCCTTGTGATGTGACACGAGCGGTGATATACAGCTGGAGAAGACAATCAGCGGGAGTGTAAGAAGAGCCGAAGAGATGCGGTCGAACACGGTTGTCACGCTGGCGCGTGTTTGTCTGTCGCTTCTGCTGATGGTGATCGTGGCGAATGCGAGGATTCACAAGCTGGATATACGGGTTGGTTTTGCGCTGGAAATGCGATTCTTCCATACGACATTTATCATTATTATTATTATTATTATCGCGCACCTAATTGCGATTCAGGAAAAGAAAGCCTTGAAGCAGCTGCGTTCGTTGAATCGTTTCGATGGATCGGAGATTGTGTCGTATAACGGAATAATCCTGTGGGAAAAGGACGCCTACAATAGTGCATTGTGTGTACATTACGATCGTACGCAAGAATCTCTCAGGAAAAAATAATATCGAACGAAATCGCCCATGGCATTCTCATTGAGCGTCATGCGCGATAATTTCGGAGCATGTCATCATATGTCATTTTAAAAGAGAAAATTATTGAAAATTGTTTTATCGATTCCTTATATTTATAATTTTATAATTTCAATTGATAGATATATAATTATACGCTGAGTATTTTTCTGGATAATTTTGGAAAAAATTTTTTACGACATTTATTGTCGTGCTGGCTGCTAGAAATTATGTTAATTTGCGAAATTGCTGACAAATAAATATTTCAAAGAATTTTCTAGAAAAATTTTGTGAAAACTCAAAGAGAGTTGCAATCTATAAATCTGTATGTCTATGCTTTTCGAAGCATACGGTACTTTAATCCACGCTGCACTTTGTTCCTTTTGCCGCTCTTTGGCCGATGCATTATTTTTTTTCCGCTCAAAGTATTGTTTGTATTTCAGAAAGACAGAAGGCATTACATCACTCTGAGCACGTTCGGTTTCTACAAGGGTGGCATTTTAACCGTAAATCTCACGAATTTCAAGTTCGAGCCAGCAGACGTAGACAAAAAACTGTCGCCAGAAAGTACTAACAAGGCCGTGGTGAGTTGCAATAATAAATAATAATGTACGAGATACAGTTCTCTCTAAATGCATTTTTAAATCACTTAAATTTTCCTGAAAAATTTGGAGTCAATCTTTTCTTTAAAAAAAAAAATTTGGAGTAACGAACAATATATTATGAAGATAAAATTAATCTTGATATAGCTCATTTTTTTCTCGGAATTTTCGAAATAAAATAATTTTGCAACACATTTTCTCTGTAATTTCTATAAAACTCACATACTTTTATTATACTGTCAATTTAATTACAATATAACAAGATAAAAATTTCAATCTGATAAAGATCTCTTTATTAAGCAAATTAAAAGCTTGATTACAAAACAGCGCATATACGTCGCTCTGTCGACGGACACCTGTTTCTGTCTTCCGTACTTTGATAGTCCCGCCGAGAGCCCGCGTTTATAAATAAGCGCCCAGGATGCTTGGTATGTATGTATATCATCGACTTGTTAGACTCGTGAATGACTTGTTCACACATATAACACTTACAACATGGAATATAAACTGGCACATGAAACCTCCTCGTGTATATCGTTACCTTATCTTTGAAAGCATTCATTTAAACAATTTATAACACACATATTTCATTATTCGTTCTATACGAAAAGAGAGACAAATTAATTTATATATAAAATTATTATTTTATATAATATAAAAATAAATTTATATATTTTTTTTACGCAAATAAACAATTATTTTTATACTGTTACAACATGGCATTTCTATTCTGATTACAGTTCGGCTTCAGCTTGGGTAGAACGCTTATCGATGCTATCAATCCCTACGTGCATAATCATCTGGATGGATGCCTGCTGCAAAATGTTTCGACTCTCAGGACGGAACAGAAGGACGACAGTTCTATTATATATTTTACCATGGACTTGAAGAATCTAACGTAAGTGTAATCGTCAGCGTTAGAATGCCCCGGATGAAGAGTTAATCTCCATTTGCAACGAGGAATAATTCGTAAATCGTTGCAGGATGCAAGTAAACTGCAGTCGCAATGTACGAGCGGCACATATTTATAAAGACTCCAGTACGGTGCTGATGTATCGAACAAAGAGGAGCTCGCTGTCGGCGAGATTCAGCGATACCGCGCTCTTCCCACGGAGAAAACGAAACGCATCGCACGGTGAGTCGTCGCGTATGCGTTAAATTATGTGCAAAGTTATTTCCACCTCATACACATAGAGGCGAGAGATATCGCTATAACAAATATTCAACCGACGACATGTCTCGTGCTTCATCGATTTTTATAGCGATCCGCTTGGTACATTCCTCGTACATGTAATGCGACCAGCGTTTATACTTAATTTTATAACATTGCACAATGTAATAAATCGCGAGCGGCAGTTGCAACATTTGGCATATGCTTAAAGACATGGTAATTATGCGAGGAGACGTGATGAGATAGAGCGAAAGATATTTGATTTAGTCTCCGCGAATTGTGCAACTCAGTCAGAATTACTCTAAACGTGATTCGCTTCGAAAATTTTCGTTTTGAATACCGTTGCTTACTGTTCGCTATGAATAGAGTAATGAAATTTCGCCTAGGAGAGTCAAAAACAGCATCTGGTAAATGTTATCAGCGATACATGCGGTATATCGAAAATAAACCATCACAGCATTCGCCAGATATTTTCGACACTTCCTCATAGCCTAATATTAGAGATATACTTCGACTGCAACGGATAGAACAGGTGTAAACTGGAGACTTGGCTTATGATCCTTCGCGATGCAAACATATGGTTTGTCACGCGTTATTATCCTGACACAATTTCATTATAATATCTGATGAACAATTATTATTTTCTTAATGAAAAAGATATCTCGATGTGGAAAGAACAGATAACAATATTAACGAATGTCATGCGTAATGAAGAGGGAAACCTTTGTTATAGCTAGATTACCTTGTCAGTGTACCGTAATTATTTGTCATAAATCATATATCATATATCACACATAAAGATATTTGAAGAGGGAATGTCAACAACTAATACGTAAACTGATATAAACGCGATTCGAAAAATTTGTGTAATGAGCGAACCTATGACGATCGAGACGCATTATTCACGTAGACGGTTTTAACGATGATCGATGAGCGACGTACCGGTTTCGAAGCGACATCGTCGATCGAACATCGCCGCAGATGAGAGACGCTATAATTACCGCGACTCGTCCCCGATTTTATAAATAACGCGAAACTCAGGTATTTTTGTGAAGGTTCGGTTAGGTAACTATCTTTTGCGCTGAGTACACGTGTCTATCGTCTATATCTCGCCTCAATCATCGCCTTCATTGCGTCATCGTTGGAAATGACACATCGACGAATAACTTATTCGACTTATTTAGAATAAGATCGTAAAGGAACCCGCTTATCTTTTCATAAAGTCATCATCAAATAAAAATCTCTTTGTGCAGCGATCGAGAAGTCCGTCGTGTTCAGCGATGCCCCGAGACTCAGGTCAGAGAGCAACGCGTGTTCTCATCTGAGATTACCGATGACGATGGAGACAACATCCAAAGGCGAAAGATCGTACAATACGAGTTTCGTCATGTATGTGGCGAGCGAGGAAGAGGAGGGCCTGTACAATCTCTATTTTCACAACTGTCAGAATTATGATAATTATATGGAACCGCTGCTCGTGGATTTCACGGTAAGATTATCTGGGAATGATTAGGAGATTAGATGCGCGATTGTTCGTCATTGCAAGATATATTTCTCTCGTAGATGGAAATAGCGGAGATTAATAACGACAACTTCCTCAGCGCCGGCGAGATGCCCTTGCCGGCTTTGTACTTTACGATGGCGCTGCTCTTCTTCTTATCGGGCTGCTTCTGGGTGTTTATTCTTAACAAAAGCAAGTAAGGGAAACAGCATTATAATGAAATATAATGAAACATTAACATGGAACAGAGCGTTAATGCTACTTTTGTAATACAGGCATTCTGTATTCAAAATCCACTATTTAATGGCGGTCCTGGTGTACCTGAAGTCTTTCTCATTGTTATTCCACGGTATAAATTACCACTTCATCCAGACCAAGGGTGAACATGTAGAGGCGTGGGCGATTTTATACTACATTACTCATCTCCTGAAAGGGGCCGTTCTCTTTATTACTATTGTACTTATCGGCACGGGATGGAACTTCATAAAGCACATTCTCACAGACAAGGAAAAGAAACTCTTTATGCTGGTCATACCGTTGCAGGTAAAAATATCAGTTTTCTTTATTAATATATAATCTGTCTCCTTTCAAATATTTTTTAAATTAAAAACATTTAAAAACTTTAAAATATTTGGTAAAGCAGTTACATAATATATGATGGCTTTAAAGACATAATGTCGTAATAGAAGCTCGTCTCTTCGTAGGTATTGGCAAATGTGGCTGAGATAATAATCGAGGAGAGCGACGTAGGTAATTTGCGTCGCGAGACCTCGCGGGACATGTTTATACTCGTTGATTTGGTCTGTTGCGGAGCAATTCTATTTCCGGTTGTGTGGAGCATCAGGCATTTAGAAGAGGCTGCCCGCACGAGCGATAAGGCGGCCATGAACTTGCGAAAGCTCATGCTATTCAAGCATTTTTACATTATGATAGTTTTCTATATATACTTCACCCGAATTATAATGTACATACTCAAGGTGTGTGCTGCGTTTTGTAATTTATAGTTATTCATATCATATCGATTACGATCGCGAAATTGGTATTTTAATGCGAACTGCTCTCGCGTTTGTAGATCACCGTACGCTTTGATTATCAATGGTTGGACGAAACGTTTCGAGAAATGGCGACCTACGCATTCTTCGTCTTGACAGGTTACAAATTTCGCCCAGCATCCGCGAATCCGTACTTCACGGTGCCGAGCGACGAAGTGGAGCCGGACGAGGACGACAAGGTCGACGTCGTGTACGTATCTCAAATTAATTCGCCACAAATATCAAAAAATTTTCTCCTTTGTAAACTACTTCTAATTTATATAATTTCCTTTATATATATTCCCATTGTTTCATTATTTTTTAAATATTAAATTTCTTATCCATCAATAATAATATTCATAATATTTGAAACAAAATATATCGAATTAATACATATTTTTATACTGTGTGACTAGAAAGCGTAACAAACTCGACAATCCATCAAATAAAATAACTAATACTTGTGTATTTGAAAGATAATATTTCGCTTAGATTCCGAATAATCTTTACGAACAATTGACACAGCTTCGTTTCATTCTTTCTTCTTTACCTATGAAGTTTAACATGTCAATGTATTTTTCAGTATTTCCGGTGGTAACGGGATCAATCGGGACTTCAGTAAAGTGAGCAAGGTGCCGAGAGCGGTTAGAACCTCGAAGGTTCCATCTACCGAGGAGGAAAGGCATAATCTCTTCCACAGTACGGAATCTTCTCGCGAATACGACTGAAAATGATGGAGATAAATTGTGATAGATCGCATCACGTGACCAACGCGCCTGCGAATCTTCGAGGCCACACTCTACGGATTGAAGTGGCGATTATATAAAAGCGTGATGAAAAGAGAAATCAATGAGAGTGCGCGGCTCAAACTCAGCAACTTTTCTATCTTCAGACTTGTTTTATATTCCTCGAAAGAAAAAATACTGGTCCATATTCGCGAATCACTGCGTCACTGCGTCGCGTACGCAATAATAGCGGCTGGATAAAATTTATTTGTTTCATTAAACAGTTGATTTCTCGATCTTCTCCCGCTTTCGTTGTCTACCATTCAATCCGAGACGTTAGTGAGACACTTCTTCCTTTTATTTTTCTTTTCTCTTTAATAAGATAGATATTTTAAAGTAGGTAATTACTCATCTTTCTCTCTCTCTCTCTCTCTTAATCACTTAATGTTTCATGTTACGGCTCCAACATGAGAACGCGAGCAGACGACAAGTACGCGCGCTTTTTCTCGACGCGCTTCTTGTAGTCAATTTTCCGTAGGCATTTAGAGAAACATTTCCATTCTCTTCTTTCCCATAACGCACGCTTGATTACCTCGGTATGAGAATCTCATTTTGCCGATGGCGCGGGTACTTTTGTATCGTACTTCGTAATCTTACGTTTAGACAAGGACCGAACTGAACGGTGCAATAAACTTATCTAACAATATATGTCCTCTCGCGATATATTACACGAGATATTATAATACTAGAGTTAATGGTACCATTGATAATACTCAGTGACAGATCTATCGGTGAGCTAAGTTTAAGCATTAGGACCAAGAAATCCTCGGCGTACAGATACATGCGGATATGTATCGGTTCTTAAGCTGTGATGTGTTTTTATTTTCTTTTTTTCCAAGTTCAAGATTTATGTTAAAATATATTATTTTCTTAAATTATTTTATTTTATTTTATATACATATATATATATATATGTAAAATCCTTTTTTTAGAAAAGAGAATTTTTAGAAATATTAGGTCGTCGAAAATATATGTAGATCCGCGACTGATTATTACTATTTGGTACTTATTATTATACAAGCGTTGTCGTTTCGCTGTCGTTACATCTAGGGCCATACTTACTTACAGCTGAAAGTTCCAAGAAATGTTCGCGAAAGGTAAATACGGTCCTAGTTACATCTGTTACTACCAATAACTGTATCGTATATATCAAACGGGACACGAACAATTCAAAGAATAAAGCGAATATTTTTATGAAATGTTCATGTTTCACCTATGTTTATTCCCTTTACCGTTACGATAAAATATCGTCGCGTTATAGTCTCTGCCATTATTTCGCGTGAAGGAATTAGACTTATTGTTAATAAGAAATTTAAAAAATTGTCAATTTTGCGAATGTCAACGTGTTTTTATCCTGAAATTAATCGGAAATTTTTTGTCTTATTTAGTCATAACTAATGAAACCTTTGTAAACTTGTTGAATGGCTCCTAATACTTGCAATGTATTGTATTTGTCATCCTCTTTTATATCTGTTTATTTAAACCACCTAGATACGTGAGAAACATCTCGATGATAACTATATTTTTCTAATAATCTCATTTGCAAAAAGAATAATCGTGAGGCTCGATGAGATGAAAGTTCCTTCCTCATTTCCGGTGGCGGATCGACATAACAATATATTGTGCGTCCCGAAAAAAAAACACCGCTCTATCTTCAATTCTTTAAATCGATTCGAAACGTAGTAAATTAAATTGGCAGCCGAGTGTTTAAACGATTTGGCTCACTCAATTTAACGCTTCGCGGTGAAACCGCGGCTGAAAAAGGCCGCGAGGCAATAAAATAGATTTAAAGCGACGCCGCTTCCATCGCGTCGTATACACGTAAGTTTTTATGATTGCTATAAACGTCGCCTGCGGTTTTGCATTGAAACGCCAACGGGGGCGGATTGTCAGTTTCCCTGCGTAAAACGTATATAGAGGCGAAAGTTAAAGAGATCCCGCGGGGGTCTCGCGCAGTTTTCACAGCACATGAAACATGACAAGTACACATCTAAGGAAAGAAAGGAGAAATTTATCGCGCAATATATAGCTGATACAACTTTTATTACAACCGACATCGTAACAATGCACGGGACTGATAAATATTTTATATATCCTCCGAATTCGCGACTCAATTGTTTTTACAAACTGTTCTGTCACAGTCTACTTTACTCTACTTCTAAAGAAATATTACTTTCGTGACATGTAATATTGCCGCGTCATATAACAGGATATAAAAAATTATAGAGAACAATGACAGAGATTAATGGAAAAAGTCGATAATAACACGTCGACATAATTAATTATTAATTATTTAAATAATAAATAATATAATAAATTTTTAAATTTAATTAATAAATTAATATAACGCGTTATTCGAAATTAAATTATGTGAGAAAGAGAGGTCGATATTTCCCTCCCTTAATTTCCAGATAAATAAGCGTTTTAGAATAACGATCGATAATCGAATATATGAAGGTTTGATGTTCTTGATAAAATCTGTATGCGATCATTATATTTTACATATATTTTACATTAGATAAAGAAAACATTGATTCTACCGAGCTGCACTGGCAACTTGCCACTTGGCCACTTGTGGAAAGGGCGTAGAAATCTCTTCTCGTAGACTCACTGACTCGTCGACCCCATGCCGAGTATTCTTAAGAGTTCTACTCCCCATGGGACGGACGCACAATTCGTCCTGTTACGGTCAAAATAGCCCTATGCCACTCCTGAGGATCTTTTCGTACAAAACACACCAATGATGTCGAGCACGAATTCGGGTTTGTTACGTTCTCTTCCAACACGTGATAAATATCATTTATTTATGATACTCGAAAGTTACAACACTTGGCACTTAGGGTCGATTATAGGATCTCTCTTGTTTTCTAGGGAGGATTAGATACGCGAACTTGATATCTCAATTTTTCTTCATATGTTGCGACTAAAATAAAAATTTACAAAGTACAAGATATCGATAAATCGGACACAGGAACTGTAATTAATAATTTCAAAGTTATTGCTTCCTCGTAGAGGAAGCTTTGTTTTCGTGACAAATTTTTTTTTCGAGTTTTCTATGCCAATGTGTTTAGAATGTTCCAAAACGTCGAAAAATCATATTCCTAAAAAATGTCTGTATGTATGTATGTATGTATGTGTGTATGTGTGTATGCATGTATGTACGCAATATATTGTACAACTTCTAACTTCCGCAATTTTTGAGATATCAAGTTAAATTTTTTTTACATGGATGGAGTATCATTCAAGGATGGTTGGTATTGAATTTGGTGAGAATCGATGAAAAGGTTCATTTTTTATAAAATTTTGAATTTTTTGAGAAATGTCTGTACACGCTGTAACTTTCAGAAAATTTGAGATATCGGATTAAATTTTTTTACATGAATAGAATATTATTAAAGGATGATTGGTACTGAATTTGGTGAGTATCGGGGGAAGGGGTCATTTTTTACAAAATTTTGATTTTTTGAGAAATGTCTGTACACGCTGTAACTTTCAGAAAATTTGAGATATCGGATTAAATTTTTTTACATGAATAGAATATTATTAAAGGATGATTGGTACTGAATTTGGTGAGTATCGGTGGAAGGGTTCATTTTTTACAAAATTTTGAATTTTTTGAGAAATGTCTGTACACGCTGTAACTTTCAGAAAATTTGAAATATCCGATTAAATTTTTTTACATGAATAGAGTATTATTAAAGGATGTTTGATGTTGAATTTAGTGAGGATCGGTGAAAGAAATTATTTTAATTTTTATTTTGCTCACAAAGCTTTCTCTATGAGGAAGCAAAAATTGAAAAATCCGCATGCTTAAAGCAGCTTAAGCATTGTAAGATAAAATAATGAGGAAGCAATGTGCAAGTTTCTAATTTGCACAACTCTACTTGTTTTGAATTAATACTTGCTCCTCTGCTCTGTAATATATCTTTTAAATAATTTGTAAAATTTGTACTAAAAAAGAGAGGATTTTAAATTCGAATTTTGAGGAAGAGAATATGAATCATATAAATATCATATCACGAGAGCTTACAAATCGAGTAAATAGTAGAAATGTAAACGCGCTACTCTGCTTCCGTTTCTCTATCATCTTAATATTTCTAACTTTCTCCATCTACGTCATAGTTAGTGCGACGATTTGAGAAAGGGATGGGAAACGGCTGTAATTAGTTAGTTAATACTTGTTCGAGTTAGAAACTACCTGGGATTAGTTAATCAAGGCTATCTGAAAGGGGAGGATGAGAGGGGAGGAAAGGGCAACTGACCCTTTTGCAAGATGCGAGTCGGAATGTGAAAAGTTTGACGGTGAATCATCGAAGGATTCGGTCATGAGAGGCCGCCGTACGCAATTTACCATGTCAATACGAGATCAACGTTCTCCTCTCTACGTAGTTTATGCCATTGAGCGAAAATGGTTACGAGCTATAAACCTTAATCTTCCGCAGCCTAAACGGAACGTCTAGTCGTCCAGATAGCCGGGACGCACAAACGTATGTTATTTGGTCCCTTGAGTTATAAAAGTTATTCTTGCGTGTCGCGCAATCAAAGTAGATTACATAGGCATCGACTCGATTGTTAAAGTCTGCAACAGGCATGAAGTTTTGGCGCGCAAAATGCCGCCCCATATACGGAACAATACATAGTTTTATAGTTTTTAAATATAATAAAAGTAATTTAAGGGGAAATTATTTTATATTTAATATGAATTTTATTAAATAGGTAAGAATTTTTAAAATAATGAATT